GCGTCGTAACCGGCGGCCGATCGTCGAAACCGCTTGAGCATCTTCAATTCCATATTTTGTAAGGTGTTCGTGGCAGGATGCAGGTACTGATCAAAGAATAAGCTTTCGGACGCGCAGAACTCGGACAAATGCTATCACCTTTTCGCTCTTGTCGACCATCTTCTGAACAATGCGCTCCACGCGTTCGAATTCTGGACACATGCTTGTACAAGTACCCACAGGCGTAATGGCTTGCTGCAGTGACGTTGGCTGGTTCGGATCTGCCATCTGACCTTCCCGTATAGCCTTCTCTCTTTGCTTCGTCCTATAAAGCTTGAGCTGTTCGAAAGTGAGTATCAATCAAAATAACCACCAGTGTCCAAATCCCGAAGTACAATTCCAACTAACCTGTTCGTAGCGATCCGTATAGCTACTTAGAAGCGCGGCGTCCTCCACGGGGACGGCCGCACTGGTCGCTCCACTGGTAGGCTGCGCGAATGGTTGCCGTGGTGAAGCGACATTGCCGCCATTTTGAGCCCCAGAGAAGCTCGAGGGAGTCCCAAACGACACGGGTGATGCTTTTCCAAATCCCGCGAATGGGGAAGGGCTCGGAGACGGCTGCGCAGGAGGGGTGGCGGAGGAAGAAGCCAGCTTCTTCGGCTGTCCGAAAGGCGACGAGGCGCCAGTGGCAGGCTCGGCCGGTTGTTCGGCCTGTTTTCTCCAGACGTTATTCCCCGCCCCGGCTCCCCTCCCCTGACCACGTGTGCCTCTTACCGCCGAAGCGCCGCGCCCCCGACCACGAAGCCTGGGGTCGCGTGTCGCGGTGTTGGCATTGGGTTGATACGGAGTCGAGCGTCCAGATGGTCCACCACGTCCACGACCAGCGGAGCCAGCCGAACCATCTCTCTGGCCGATGCTCGAGAAAGGATTCGCTGGGCCGGCCATTCTGCCGCAAGCCAGCGGGATCGTGGACGGGGTATTTCGGTTGGTGTCGCTCTGGGCACGATGAGCAGAGACTTCCCGATGCTGTCGTTTAAAGCTCTGGTTGCGATTCCGGGCGCGTTCCTTGTGTTATGAGTAGCGTGGTCGGGTACTGAACGGGAAGGAATACGAGCGAGAACTGTAGAAGTGCTGAATGTTGGAGGAAAACCGCGGAGACGGGTGTGACGGCAGAGTCAGCTGTGGCTCAAGCATAATGGGAGAAGGTACGATATAACACTGCGATTGCAAGGCGACGAAGATGGAGAAGGAGGAGAGAAATAGCAATTGGACGACGAGTGAATGTTCGTGAACGGGGCAGCTGTGAGATACAAGCGGAACGAACGATAGGCGCGGTACCTTTCGAGATTGGGATCCAGGGAGCGATTGGTAGTAGCTGGAAAGTGTGAAGAGGAAAGGTCCACAGGTTTTGCGACGATGAGTTGCTGCAAGCGAATGCAAGTGGCGCGGAAATGAGGTGGTGGTGTTCCCGCAACTTCGGACAGGATGGGCGCTGAGATTCTTGAGACGAACCGAGGGGGCGGATGCAGCGGCAGGCTCTTGAGACTCGGCAGGCGACGAGGACGGCGTGAGGCGCTGATAGACGGGCTAAGAGCTGCTGCCCTTCCAAAGGATTGATCGTTGGTTTGATTATAGGAGAGATAGAAAGAGGAGATGGGGGGACTTGCAATCATCTCGAGGGGAGCTCCAGACGGCGGCGGGTGGGACTGCGTCAATGCGCGCCAAGCTCGATCAGACGCAAGCGCTGCTGACGCGCGGCTAGCCGGACACCTCCTCATTCCATCCGTCATGATATGGTAGCGAACTACTCCGTAATCATACAGACTTGTAAATGTCAACAAGGCTGAATTGCTTCTCTGGGAAGACACCCCTGGGCTAGGGGGCTTTGCTTGCCTCTTCCTCTTCCCACCCCCAACTCTGTCTACCCTTCGCACTCTGTGAAACACAAGTTCACTGCGCGCGCGATAAATGCGTCAAACACAGGGCGTTTGAATGCTATGCTCAATCTAGACGGGTCGCTCATTTCCCCATGGCCTCTGCTTTTTGGTCTCTATTAGACGCCGGAAACCCTCAAACACTAACAGGTCATTAGGCTCTCTGCTGGAGAAGAAAGAGGGGACGGTGCTCATCCTCGTATTGGATGGGCGTTGAGCTTCGCTTGTCAGTTCTGTCATGGCACAGACTGCAGGGATGTCTAACATGAATTCCAGCCTGGCTAGAACCATTTCTACTTACTTACAAGCATGATTTTAGTTGTCAAGGCTGGCGGCTTCAGAGCTCAACAAGGCCAGTCAGTTATTGGTGAAATAGTTGTGAACGCGATTGGCCAAAATCAACACCTGCCCAGATGTTCTGACCCAGTAGTAGGTACTAGTAACTTGAAGGAGCAGAGCCTGTTCCAGAAAGGAAAAAAGAAAACATCAAGACAAAAAAGAAGCTCCCTCCCTAGTATTTTCTTTTGTCCATCACTGGATGATCGGCAGGCCAATCATTTGTACATCACTTCAACTTGGCGAGAGCAATGACATCTGAACGTACAGGTAATGTCTCAGTATCACGACCGAATTGAGTAAGAAGAAGCGAGGTCGGAAGGTATAGGTAGAATCATAAGACACTTGGTTTGGAGCGGAAGACAAGTGGTCAAGTCGTTTCTTACGATTCATCGACAGGAAGTCGGGTAAGGGTGTGTCTGGAGCGCTCCGAACAGAGCCGGGCGGCCTTAGTCTGATGGCAATGTAGTGGTTGCATTGAGGCTGTTCTCCATATGCCTGGATAGGGCTTCAGATACTTGTATGCGACGTGAGTTGGTGCACTTGTCATAAACTAGCATTCCTTCGCCCATGCTAGTTCCCTTGTGAGATGATTCGAGTCAGCCAGTCAGTCAATCTTCCGCTGAGGAATGAGTGCCTACCCTTCATTCGAAAGTTTTACTTCCTGCCAGTCTGTTGGGAGGTGGCTCCGGAGATTGTGGTTGAGGAAGCGGAGGAAGAAGTCATAGAAGTGGAGGTCGTGATAGCGGCGGCGGCGGGAGTCGTTTTGGCCTTTTTCCTGGCGAAGCACGAGCATACATATCGAGTGATCCTTTCCAAAGATTACCTTGAGCGCCAAATTGGTAGGTGCCGCTTTTCTTGTCGAGTATTGTGGTAGAGTTGAGTGGCTTCGACCTTGGGAGGAGGGTTGGCCCGGTTGAAATGAGTATGATGGTCTGGAACAAAGACTGCCCGTGGACGAGGTGGGTATTAGAGACTGGATGAGGCCTGTGAGCAGGAAGAAAGTAGGATGGTGACGATGATGATGGAATGATTCTTGGAAAGGGGGACTTGCCTTCTTAAGTACAGGCACACACGGCAAGTGTGAGCCTACTCCGAAGCTTACCATCTTACCCAGCCACGATCAGTGATGCAAAACATGCCTCCCTCTGAATCAGAGTCAGGAGTCGCGAGCTTGGGTACGAGACTTTGAAAGACATACCATGCCGTACTTCAAGCATATCCGCACTGCCACCCTAGCAGGCAAGAGCCATGTTCCCTAGTCTCGTGAGTGAGTTACAGACAGATTTGAGTGAGTGTAATTTGCTAAGGCAGAGAACAACCGGGCCCCATGAGTAATCGATCATGATGGACCAGTCTACCTTATTCGACTAACACTACAGCTACCTCAGGCACCTCCGCTACCGCTCCCGGCGCCTCGGTCGATGCCATCCAGAAACCGTCATGATAATGCGAAAAGACGGGACCTTTGTAGGAGTCTAGAGCTTGTTTTCATTCTGCGAAAGCACCTTCATTAGAACATTAAAAGGTCACCACGATGGGATCGGGTCAATTACGCCTCGAGCCCACAAAGTCATATTCTGAATTAATCGCCAGTAAGCAGCCATGGTATTTACTATCCCTTCAAGAACAGCAGTGCACCACACCGCGCCACAGCTAGCTTCGTTCGTTCTTTCATGAGGCCGAACCAAGTATATGGAAAACCTCAAAAACCAGATTCGCATCTTTGTGTCTACTGCCTCGCACTCCTCCTTTTGTCTTCCCTAAACCAATAATCGCTTAACACATCAGTGAACAAAGAACGGAACAACCACAGGGGGGCTAGGTAGTCATATAAATCCCGGAGGTTCTTTCCTTCTCCCCTTTCTTTTCTTCAATGGTAAAGATACCAGTAGTCTTTGCCATCTCCCTCCTTGGACTTGAGTCCGCAGAGCTCCCCTCTTTTTCTGTACTCTCCCACAGTTATGTGACTTATTCTTCTCTTCATGAGTATGAGTCTCCGCTTCATGGGGCAGTAACCCGTCTAGAGTCTCATTAGTTGACCTGTTGGCCAGTAATGTTATATCTCACGCCCACTGCGCCCGGAAAAACAGTACGGACGACTAACTTACTAGGCTTTCTGCTTTCTATGTTGTCATCGCAGGCTATTATCATTTCTGCTGAAGGAGGAGGAGGAGGGCGAGAAGGAGGAGAGGCGTATATACTTCTTGTTCTTGCGCATCTGGATTTACCAGTTAACTTCCAAAGAACTTAGTCACCTCTCTACCACTGATTGCAGTCCAGAGCTAAGATCAATTTCAGTAGAGCGGGCACCATGAGAGAGGGCTCAAGAACAGCACCAAAGCAGGGAAGCACATCCCGTGAGATAAAGTGTTCGGAAGGCCTATTCTCTCGTAGTCCTACAGCTCACGATGGAAAGATGCGATTGACTGTGTCTTCTGACTGCTACACTATGAATGAATCCACTTATGGGACTTGGATACTTTTTCATGATCAGCCGAAAAGCGTGGTGGTGCTTTTGCTATAGCATAACCCCTCTGCCCCCACCCTTAGCATAGAGCTTCATCTATAGGATAGGGATCTTCTATACTACCTATGGACGGGCACTTAATCCACGAGGTGGCATTATTTGTAAGGTAAAGATGACTGAATAACCCTCCGTCCTGCTGCAGATAGTAGACCGTAGCTAGTAGTTAGTTAGCGCGGCACATGCTGCTTTTTACGCCGTGCCTGGAAATTGGGCTAGTAGGTGGGTGGGCAACCACCAGCAAATTTCTACCGCTGTGAAGTTTGTTCTTTTCGCCTTGCCTTTCTGCTGGTCTTCCCCTTCTTGCTGCTTGCTGTGGCTGCTGGGGAGTTTAGCACAGTACTCTGCTGCTAAGTCCGCACTCGCGCAGACGGACCCTTCATCGATGCCTCCTGACCCAAATAATGCATGCACCAGTCAAGTGTTGAGTTACTGCCCATCCAGCAAGTGCAGACGCGGAACCCATCGAGAAACGTGTATAACTCATGCAATTCTTTTTGAAGGGTACCACTAGGTACAAAAAGAAAGGACGCTAAAACGCTGCTGTCAAGTACCAACCCAGCCCTCACCAAAGTCAAGGAAATGAAAACCAGAGAATAAACAGAAGTCAATAAAACACGAGATACCACCTGCTTCCATGTCTCAAGCAAATGACAGGAGCAAAGGAGTTTTAAACACGAGCGCCCTTTGCTTTCCCAAAATCTATTCATGTCAATTCCAGCCACCCCAAGGGCGTCAACAAAGTCACAAAAGGCAATCCTCACCACCCAACAATTCTAATCCAAGTACACAAGAAGAAAACATAGTGACAACAGAAACCCCAGTAAGAAAGAGTACCCCAGTGCGAAAAGAAACACAAAAAGGAGACGGAGAAAAGGAAGTTCGTATATGTTCGTGGCGTGGTCATTTCGTGTGCGGTCTATATTCACAGCTGCTCAGCAGACTGGTGGAGGTTTGGGTGACTCAAGGAGCCAGTCCGGAAGGACATCCTGGAAGGGCTTGCCAGCTCAGGCAGGCCGTGCATCTCTGGCATCGGCATCTGGTAGTGCATAGCTGGCTGTGACATCGGTTGGCTAGTTGCTACCGTGTTGTAATCAAAGGAGCTGTACAGGGGCTGTTGTCGGTAGGCGGGCGCGGCCCAACTATCGTATGGCCCGACAGAGTGCTGCATGGACATGGTCGTAGGGCGATGGTGTTCTGAGCCGGCGGCAGTAGTGAGAGGAGCAGGGGTCAGACAGTCAAATGACGAGGCCTGCTCGAGCGGACTGGGCAACTCGCTGCTGGTCGGGGTGTTGATAACCGTGGGCGATGTGTAATCGTCCTTGAAGTCCTCGGAGGCCGAGTAAAAAGACTGCCCCTGTAGTCGATCCGATTCACCGTAGCTCAGCGACTCTGGCAGAGGAAATAGCTGGCCCTGATCCGCTCCCATCGAGATGGCACGGTGGGAGGGCATACCGACTGGATGATCCATGGTTGTGAATGGAGCAGACAAGTCTTCAATCGAGGATGCTGTTGAAGTGATCACCTCGTTGCACTCGGTCTCTTCCGGCTCGAACTTCTGTTCCGGCTCAGCCACAGCGTCGATTTCCTTCTCATTGATCTCCTCCTTCTCCTCCTTATCATCTCTTGCCTCGACGTACACAATGGTGGACGCATCTGAGAAGTCTTCGTTAGTCGAGATTCTTCTGACTCACAGTGCCCACGAGATTGGATCTTACCAACTTCGCCCATCTGATACCGCACCTCCATCTTGCGGACCCTGAACATTTCATCCAGGATAGCCATCTTTTCGACGGGGATGTGTCTTCTGCAGTCATGCGCAACCTCCTGCAAGTCTTCTGGAGTGATGCCGTGCTGGCCGAGATTTCGGATAATGTGGAGAAGAAGCTTGATCCGTTCTAATGCGCAAGAGAGTCAGCCCCAGTGTTCGCGCCGAAGTCATAGCCAACAAGCATACCGGTCTTCCTGAGATGATCAGGCTCTCTGTGGATCACATCAGCCGGCCACCATGCGGGCTTCGTCAACTCCGGATCTCCTTTGGTTCCTGGTGGCGCACCCGGCCTGGGTCGGCCACCGTTGTATGGGTGCCGCACTTGCTTCCGCGGCTCGATGTACTTGATGAATGCTTTGGAGATGACACGGCAGTTTTGCTGCTGAATGTTGATCAGGGCAACCCGATAATACTGGGCTAACTTGTCCGCGTCACCAATTTGGATGGCAACCCTGGTAACGGCAGCCACGGGAGGCAAATCTTGCACGGTATTGGTGTAGGGGTTCGAGTATCGCAGAGTGGAAGAGGAAGCGCTAGGCTGAGTTCTGCGCTTCTTGCCCTGGCGCCGATATCTCTCATTCATGCGATCACCGTTCAGAGCAGTGGGACTGACGCCGGAGGTTCCTGGACTACGTTAGCTGGTGTTTTCACTCGCCGGACCCGAGCTTGCAGACACATACTGCGAATCAAAGGCTGTCTATAGCCGATCTGTGAGCCTAGGATCTCTAGGAATTTCTCTCGCACCTCGTGGCTGAAGATAGTCATGTTCTGGCCGCTGATCGAAGGCGACTCTTGAACCTGCAGCCGACCCATGTGGTCCAAATAGATGAGAGAGTAGTGGTTGAAGGGCATGTTGACGGTTGTTTGCAAAGAGGCGTTCATGACCTATGGCGAACATGTTAATGCAGACACGACAGGAGCTACGTCATGAACACCCACTGGAGCAGTTTCCCATCCAAGAACACCATCTTGAAGGCTAGAGGCGGGCCTCTTAGTAGGTCCTGACCCCGACGGAGTTGCAGGTGTGTAAACCATGGTGAATGTGTATCAGGCGAAAGGCTTAGGAACGGTCGTAGATTGGTATGAGATTGTATCGCGTCGAACAACCTTATCTCACAGAAGTCAAACCGGGTGTCAGAACGAACACTTGATGTTCACGAAAATTTGGTGCATAAGTTTGGCGAAACTTGATCGCTATCGCTGATGGAAGGTTGCTGAATCTGTAGGTGCAAATCCGAGGTTTGTCGAGTCGTCCGGCTCAAACGAAGAGATATTGCGCACTCTGCAATGTTCTTGGTGTATATGCTGTGGCGCACGAACGGCAGACGAAGGTCAGCTTCCTCATTCGAGTGAGATCGCCACTGCAACAGTGCTTGATCCCTGGTAGTGACATAGCATGGGCACTATGTACAGTGCCTCGTCCCCGGATCGCAGTCACGCGGAAGTATGAACCCATACCCCCTGTCTCAAACAAACCGAAAGACCGGACAGGGACAGAGCAGAAATCAGCTACTCACCCGAGAGAGAACACTGTTCCTCAGTGCAGTCTGGGATATAGTGGCAAGATAACTGTTGGCAACCAATCCTAGCACAAACTGTCGAAGATGATTCGGTGAAGTATAGGCTGCTTGCGTTGCGCTAGAATGAGGTCGAAGAAGCTTGGTGACACAAACGGGACTCGATGTAGTACGGATTGAGGATTGGGTCTTGCCTGAAGAGGAAGATGAGGAGGAATGAGTAAAGTTGATAGAGAAGATCAAGTTATAGAATACTGTATATAGTAGCGTATGATGGCAGTATCAGTCCAATCTGATATGGAGCAGAGGAGTGAAGAAAAGATAAACAGAAAGGAAGCCACGGTGAGGAGTGCAATGAGGTTCTTATAAAGATCAAGGGAAGAGAAGCGAGCCAAAGAAAGGGACTGGAGCTGGACCTTTTGGACTGTCTGCGAGATAGAAGTGAAAGGATCTCGATGTGCATCTGTGGTCTGTGGACAAAAGAACCCCAAGGAACCCACCCATGCCGGCCATGATGGATTGATTGCTCTCCTCTTTTTTTTTTCTTCTGTCAGTTCGAAATCCACCCCGATTTGGCATGGACCTGGGGGAGGTGGTTCCAGCAGCATGGAGCATGGATGATCCTTGAGTGTATCAGAGCCGAAACACCCAGACGACGCAAAGGCATTGGTACAAAATGCGGCTGCATGTTTTCGGTAAGCCATGCGGTAGACGGTCTCGTTGGGGAAATTATTTTAAATCATGATCTTTTCATTTTTAGTTTAGTTTAACTTCTTTTGTTTTATTTTACTTTATTTTATTTTCCAGATGATTTTCTTTTGGCAAGGGTCATTTTGTTTTATTCTTTTTATCTGACTCTTATTTTTCTTTTCTCATTTGATTTTAATTTAAGATTATTCTGATGGACATATATCTCGATGCTAAGGCACTAAAGTAAGACTACTATTTGTAGATCGTCCAGCTAAGTGGCTATGGCAGCAGTTGGAGCCCCTCCCTTTTTCCTTCCCCAGGCCTCATACACTTTCCACTGTCATAAGAACCCGACCGGTGGCGCATCGATAATTGCCTGGACTCCGCCATCCCGAGAGCATAGCATGGGGAGAGATTAGTTACGGTGATGACAGCCGAAAGGCGAATGTGCGTTTCATACTGAGGACTGGTTCTCGATCCCGCAGACATACAGACCATTGATGCAAAAAGGCAATAGAAGATCTCCAAGAATGATGGATACTTTCGATCTCCTTAGCAGGTGGAATATTCAGATAGCCCTTATGGTCCGAACCTCAGGTTCTCCAGTCTGATCCGGCGGTCCCCGTCAGTCTAGCCTACGCAGGACAAAAGCACTGTCTGTGAGTGGGAAGAGGGAAAAGAGATAGGGATAATTTAGTTTGTTTGGGCGGGGAGAGTAACACTAGGCGATATTGACATAAGTTTAGTAGTAGCTAAGTTATTTGACATACTTCTGACATACTGACATACTGACATACTGACATACTGACATCGCCGTAGTATTTCTAAAATCGAGTCTAACCGCCACTTATCTAGCGGTTTGAGCAGGGATGGTCTTTCCGGGACGCGGCTTCCTGCGCAGCCGGGACTTTTTTTTTTTTTTTTTTTTTATTTTCTTTCGGTGCTTCATTTTATTTTCGATTTTATTTTAATTTCAATTGATTTCGCTTCTTAAAATCTCCCCAGCACGACAAGACCAAACCCGCCTTCGTCATTGGCTACTGCAGATCGCGCTCTCGCCCGCCAACATGGAACCGGTTTGTGTCTTTTCCTCTTTCTCACCCACGCACACACACACACACACACACACACACACACACACACACACAGATGACTGCACCCAGCAACTTCCTTTCCACTCTTCTCGGTAAAGCAAACTATCAAGCCACCGGCAGGTCTCTTAGGCTGAACCCCAGAACCCCTACTACGTAAGGAGTACAGCCACGCCTTCTTGACGTTTCGGCGACAGCTCCTCAGCTCCTCAGCTCCCCAGCTTCCCAGTCCGTTGGAGGAAAATCCTGTTTACCTGACAGCAAGTAACTCCCCAGTGAGCTACGGAGTACACCTACCGGTATCACTCCGTGGGTAACGGAACGGAGTCGGAGAGAGGGACTGTCCCATGCAAACCTAGATTATCCTTCAACGTCACCGGTAAAACTGCCTACTATTTTAGGGTAGCTCTCTGGATAGATAGATGAATAGATAGATGAGATGGAATGGATAGATGGATAGATAGATACAAACTGATGATGGTAGTGGTGGTGGTGGACATCCCCCTCCCTCGCGTAAACCCCGCCCTTCAGTTATCCACAGAGGGAAGTCAGAACTACCAGTACTATACGGATGTATGTACAGTACTGTACAGTCAGTCCCTCACTGAGTGTAGACCTTGTGTCGCATGGTCGGGTATTCCGAGTCAATGTAATAGAGACCATTCTCTAAACCATCTACTAACATCTTCCAGAGATGCGCTCCATAGCTTCGAGACCAGGTATCAAATGCTTCATCTCAAGAGCAACAA